CTACGCTTTCCAGCAACGCTTTTGGATACTTCTCGCGCAGCTCCGTTAGCCAGCAAACCTCAGTATTGCGATGAAAGATATTAATATCCGGGGCAGCGCAGACATAACCAACAATCGATTCGCTCTTATCGTAGGCCACAAGGCACAGCTCCGGATGAATGGTTAAATGCGCGCCGACCAAGGCATCGGCCACAATATCGCCCAATGGAGCGGGCAGCAAAACCTCATCGCCATCCGGCTCGCTCTGCCATTGCAAATATGTGCGCGTACAGATCTTGTTGACTTGCAGCTCATCGGAATTCTGATATGGTCTCAACAGATAGTAATTGGCCGTGGGCTGCTCGGGCAACTTGTAGACAAACAAATCATTGCCCGAATCGACGGGCATCAGGCGCTGCAAGTCGGCCGTGAGGCCGCCGCGAAACACCCAAGGCTCCTGATCGCCAGACATGAAAGCCTCCTTCCAGCCTTTGCTAAACCCTGCAAAGAAACGGAAAAATTCCCCAAATGAGATGCCGTAAATGTTGGATACAAAGTCATCGAACTTACACGTGTAGCTGCCCTCCGTGTAGGAGGACATGTTCGGCGGGAACTGAGCCAAAGCCAGCCACTTGACATAGCAATTGAGCAGCGACAGCGCACCGGATATGTCCCACACATACGAATACAAATCATGGCATATTTCCTTATTTTCACAATTTGCAATTTTGATCAGCAGCTCCAGAACCCCGCCACATAGCTTGGAGAAGAATTCGGAGCGTTGCAGCCATTCGCTAATCTCGGGCTTGATGGCCTTAGCATCAGGATGGCCGCCGCTGGCGCGATCGTGGAGCAGGACATTCGCATTGACTTTCAGCCATTGGAACTCGCTGAGCAGCTTCAGGCCACGACTGCCGTGCTCAAAGGGTAAATAGAATAGATCACAGAGCAGGCTTAAATCATCTACATTAATCTTGTTCTCGTTAGCAGTTGATCTGAAAAGTAGACTATATCAATAAGTTGCCGTCGAAGGTGAATAAAATATTTACTTGTCCGCCAAATCTTCCAGCTCCTCCTCCGCCTCGTGCATCTCCTCATTAGACTCTGGCGACGCTGATGCGCTTTCCACGTGCATGCTCTGAAAGAAAAATTCAATAATCTCAGTTAAGCTGTTGAATTTTATAATGGGCATTAGTTTCCACCCATTTCCTGCTCGGGGAATAGTAAAAATTAATTATAAATAAAAATGTCCACACATTTTTATCTTTAACCCATCTTCATACAATTTTTACCAGCATTTGGATAGAAATCTCAGCTTTCACAATGCTTCCCGGCTTTCCGGATTGTCAATCAACTGGAAAGTTCTGTATAAATGTAGATAGCTTACATTAACATCGTTGGCGGATTCCTCCATAACGACATCATCGCCAGCCAACTTGATGGCTTCCTTTGGCGAAATCTGCGAGTTAATGCTGCTGCTGCACTCCATGGGCTCGTTGGCGCCAGCGCTTAAAGGACTCAGACTGTTTTCATCCAGCATGGTGTCCACATTTAAATTGGCCACCTGGTCGCGCTTCTCAGCTATCAGAATGGCATCAGCAGCAACCGGCGAGTTGTCGACTTTGCTGACTACCGGTGCCGGCTCCAACTTAGTTGCCGGCTCGAATGCTTCACAGCTCAGTTTGATGGTCTCCTCAACGCTCTTGGCCTCCATTATGGGTGCTGGCACAATGGAGATGGGTATCTTTTTTGGCAACTCAATATTGGATGCAACTGTTGTGGGTATGGGATTAATAATCTCGTCGTTGGTCACAACTTTAGTCGGCGACACCAAAGAGTTCATCACCGGATTGGAAATGGGCGTCAGCGAGGAGCTAACTGTGCTGCACACATCGGCCAGCGCTTGGAGCTGGGTGGTGTTCACCTCGGGCACCGTGCGCGAATTCGTCGACGTTGTTGTCGTCGTCGTCAGAGTCATGCATGTGTTAATCGACGGTATTATAGGAATTATGGGCATGACCATTTCAACCTGCGGCTGCGGCTTGGTAATCGGTCCAAAGGCTTCCTTCGCCACAAAAAACTCCGGCAGCCACTCGTTGATAGCATTTCTATAGAATTAAAAGCAACTCATGAGTCAAGCCAGTTATTAGCCGGGTATGTCTGAGTCTGCGACTTACTTGAGCGCTAAGCGCGGATGATAAACGTTCTTGGACAGACACTCCACGGGCAAATCGTCCTCGTTTTCAGTCTCCAGCTTGATATCAGCGCTCAGGGAGCTGTTCATCTTTGAGTCCAGACTGCAGCGCGACCAGAAGGCCAGCGTATGCACCGCTATGAAATTGCCATAGAACTCGCAATTCGGATTAGTCATAACTCCACGCAGATAGGGTATCAGCTCCGGCGAACGACCTGAGTACGGGCCAAGGAAGACACGTTTCTGGTCATAATCGTTCGCATGGAGATTATCCCAAATGACAGGCGGACGACGCAGTATCTCAGTTATTTCCCGTATCGATTCAATCGTCACAATTTTTGATATCACCTTGTCACCCGTCCAGAGTATGTCGATGTCGTTGTTCAGCTTGGAGCCTAGCGTGTTCAGATATTCCGAATCCGCAACGCTGGGCACAGCACGCGAGGCACAGTACTGCGTTGGGCAAAAGAGAAACTTTGGACTGCCCAAATGGGTGAAAATCTCATTGGTCACCGAGACCTGGGCGTTGGCGAATGTCTGGAACACCTCCTTGTCGGCCTTAGACAGCTCCGATTCAATGTCATCGAAGAGCAAGGCATATGCCTCGCAGCCAAACTGTGATACCTGATCTAGCTTACGCTTCAGCGTCCCAATCTCCTTCGCGCTGCTATAAGTCATATCCAGACCCGGCGACAGGGCATAGTAGAAAACAATGCCCGCTTCTTTGGCGGCTGTAATCAGACCTAAAAATAATTGCAGCATTTGCCATATGAGCAGGTTTTGGCTCTAATTATCAATAAATACTTGATAAGTGATCCGCCTCCTCGACCGTGTACAGCTCACGCCAGTAGGCTCGGTGCTTGTAGTCATCTTTGGGTGCGTACATATACGAGTCCATGCCCAGTTTTTTTAATTTGCGAAACAAATCTTTTCGCTGCTCAGTTGTCCATGGTCGGCCGTAGAAGCCCTCAATTACGCCGCAAATGAATTGGCGTTGCCGATCCAGTGGGGTATGCTCAAAAGTTTCACATTTTTCCCTCATGCGGCCGTCTTCCATTTTCACAGAATCAGGATAAATGCGAGTTAAATGGTTATTTATTTCAGAACGCAAACGCTAATGCGGCAAACGTATTAGTGGCCTTTTGTCAGTGTGACCGCATTTCGCATACGCAAATATTCGTGCGAAAACAATGTATAACTGTGGTATCGATAAGCGTCGATAAATATATTTTGCCGATATGTAACGAATATACCGATATAAGATGATGGATTTGAATGTTATATTTTATAACTAATTTTTTAATTTTAATGGTCGGCAAATCGAGTGCCAAATTAAGCATTTAATACGTAAGAGTAGAAAAATAAAAAGCCGAAATCCTAATCAGAATACAAAAATGTCGTGCACGTAGGAAGGAATAAAGAGCGATTATTCCTGGTAGGGCTGGCGGAAGCCATAAATTGAAGACGAAACAACAAAAAAGAAATCTAAGTAGCCAACAATCAACTTATAAAAGAAGATTAAGAAGAAGAAACCTGTAGGCAATAAGCAGAAATCGCTGCTGAGCTGATTAAACTCGATTCTGGCTATTATTATTATCTTTTGATTTTTCTTAGGGCGAAGCCGGACAAAGCCGGGTAATGCGTAGTGCTGTAGATATTAACAAGCAAAGTTCAATTTAGTAGCTTCTAGTACTTATATGCAACACAAGATATTTCGAAATTTCGCCAGCTTAGTTATCTTAACAAAACTCATGAATTGTAATGATGAACTTTCACAAATATATTATCTTGTGGCCGGCACAAGAACCGCGATACTGAGCGATAATCAACAAATGTTATCAGTTTGGCACAGAGTATATAAATCTGTGGACTCCGTTCAGTGGGAATAGTTAAAGTCCACGTTTCAGTAGAGCCGCATATCAAAATGGATTTATATTATTCGCCTTATTCAGCGGCAAGTCGGTCCATCCTTATGACTGGCAAGGCAATTGGTGTGGAGTTCAACAGGAAAGTCATAAACATTGTCGAGAATGAGCATCTGAAACCGGAATTTGTGAAAATCAATCCACAACATACGATCCCTACGCTCGTGGATAACGGCTTTGCTTTGTGGGAATCGCGTGCTATTCTGGTTTATCTGGTTGAGAAATACGCCAAAGATGATTCCCTTTATCCCAACGACCCGAAGGGACGTGCTCTCGTAAATCAACGCTTGTACTACGATATGGGAACCCTGTATAAGGCCTTTGCGGAATATTACTACCCTCAGTACCAGAAGAAGGCGCCAGCCGATCCTGAGCTGTTCAAGAAGTTGGAATCGGCAGTGGAAATTCTTGATCTATTCCTTCAGGGTCAGCTGTATGTGGCTGGCGATAGATTGACGATTGCAGACATTGCCATTCTGGCCACAATTTCGACTTTGACAGTCGCAGACTTTGATCTGAGCAAATATGCCAACGTTAGCAAGTGGTACGAGAATGCCAAGAAGGTGACACCCGGCTGGGACGAGAACGAAAAAAGTCTACAGGAATTAAGGGCTCTGGCTGAAAAGTTGAAGGCAAAATGAGTGCACAGCCACATTACACTCAACGTTTAAACTTGTGTTTTATTAAAATACTCATTTAATAAATAACAAAATTTATGATTTCGTACATTGTTATTCGATTCGAACTTTTATTTTTTCAAAAGTTATTAACGGCTTTTTACTATAGTATTTTTTAGATATTTTGCTGGCTCGTAGTATTTTTTATTCTATCGAAAACTCAGATTATCGAAAGGCATCGATATGTCTGCACAGACATGTACCGCAGTATTTTTGTGATATTCGGCTTGCGGTCGCACTGCTTGCTAGTGTTGTTTTATTTTGTTTTCGTTTTGCATTAAGAGTTTAAGGTTTTTAATTTAAGTAGCAACAAATGCAACCATTTATTGTTATACGCAACTACCGGGAAGATGACGAACTCAAATGCCAGGAGCTGGTGCGCGATTACATTATGTCATTCTCCTCAAAGTCTTTCTTTGCGTTCTGCTTTCGTGAGGTAAGCCGACAATTGCGTGACTTATCTATGCCCCAGCGTGGGCGCATCTCGGTAAGGCTCGCCCTTTGACCCGATCAATTGGTGATATTTGTGGATCTAAATTTCAGATAACACTGCAATTTATAGTCATCACTTGGGCCATATTCTTTATATTTCTGGGTGTGCCGCTGCTCTTCTGCGTGCTCACCATACCCGGCTGTGTGTTCTTTCTCTTCACCAGCACCTACTTCTCCTTCTATGCCAAGGCAGTGGAGCTAATGAGGGTAACTTATTACATATATTGCTGCCTACAATTGCTAACCTCACCGTTTTTTAGATGAAGCCCGCCCAATCCTTGGTTGCCGAGTGCTACGAACCGTTCATCTTTCGCTGTGCACCAAACGAGGCTAGCTATCAAATCTTTATGGAGCAAGCTCCATTTGATGAATCCTATAAGAACAAGTTTCGTCGACGCATTGTGGCCACCATAAGCGTTAAGAATCATCATGCTGTCTACAATGCAGCCTGGATATATCGCTTTGCCATTGCCAAGCAATATCCATATCAGAAGATCATGGAGCCCATGATCAGTCTTGTCTCGAAGAACTGCGTCAATGCCGGCTACGCCTCGCTGGAGTGCACAATATCCGAGTGGCAGGAGAGCGAGCGTGATTTCTACGACGACCTTGGCTTCGTGACCCGCCAGATCTATCACAAACAAATCATCGGGAGCAGCGTGACGGTAATGAAGACCCAATTGACGTACAATTTGAAGACAGATGACGCGCTGCAAAAGCAAAACTAGTAGGCTAGAAAAAAGACTACACTCTCAATATATAGAGAATCTCGGGTAACATAACTGTGAAACTTAAAGCAATATTTATATTTGTTTGTAATTCGTTTTTGTATTTGTATTGTATAAACATTCCCCCAATCACGCGATGTCTCCAGTCCACACGAATTTAATAATGTCACATAAAAGGCATCGCATTTTGTATTAAGTGAAAGAAGAAGGTAGCTTCGTTTTGTCCTGCTTTATTATATATCTTGTTTATTCTTTGACATATTCTATTTAAATAAATAAAATATATATTAATAAATAAAACTTGCATATGTTTAGCGCATGCATATTGAATGCCAAACGCAGCTAATTATTTTCTTTTGTTGAATTTGTAAGTAGGTACATTTATTTCTCTTTCTTTGATGCATTTCTCTCTGGGATTAGCCGCTGTAGTATTTTTTTATTTATATAAAAAGCTTTGACTGCCAGAGTGTTTAACTAATTGAAATTTGTATACATTTCTGGGCTACCCTGGCAGAGTTACTCTAAAAAGCCTAAGTAGCTTGGGCTGGTCGTAGTTAGATTGAAAGATTCATCTTACAATATATCGGACTCTAATGGCAGACTTATGTTCTTAAATGCTTATGTAGTTCTGCTAGGGTATTTCAACGTCGGCATGCCGAGATGATGCTTCAAGTTTTGGTTTTCTTATAGAATTTAAATAGTATCAGCGCAACTAATGCTTAAAAAAATAAACTGGAGCTGCCGTGGCGCAGTCCGTACTTCAAATGTAACTATTTATATTTTTCTTTTTTTCTTGTTTTTTTTTTTGTTTCTTCATGTTTCAACTATATGTTTAAAGCGTGTTTCGAAAACTGGCTGTGAAATTAGCATAGTTTTTCTTATATTTTTTGTGTTTTTGTTTTGTTATCTTTTGTTATTGTTTCATTTGCTGCCATTGTTTAATAGTTAAGAACCACTCAAAAAGTTTAGGTAATTGTTTTGGTTTCGTCGCACTGGCAGCCGCACTCTCGGGGAAGCGGTCAGCCATTTAGAAGAGCTTCACGCGTCGCTTCAGCTCGTTGCGCCTCCACTGGGGCAGCCTGTAGAACTCAGATCTGGCGCACTGCAAGATGTGCTCGAACTCGATGTCGGACAAATGACGCTGTAGAATGAAGGAATAAGCATATATTAGAGTTTATCGGTTTAAATAGATAGCAAATAGAGCCCACCTCCAGGTTGCAGCGATCAACGTCGGATGGTAGACGATAGTTCGTTATAAGCAATATGTGATACGGATAGATCTTGGCCGGCTCGTGCACCAGCATCGAGTGCGCCATATTGGGCAGGCTGCGTCTAATGAGTCCTGCCTGCGGATAATGATAGGACAAGGCGCCCGAGTATGTGCTCGAGGCGGGCAACTCACCGCCCATCAGAGCGCGCCTATCGCCCTCAGTAATTGAGTCCACCGAAGCTGCAAAAAGAAGGTAAATATATAAATTTGTAATACAGACTGCTTTTTCATTCAATTAAAAATCTGTTTTCCTTCCATTTTGCGTGCTTGAGCTTACTTTTACCTACTTTTTACCCATTATTTAAATCATGCGAAGATTCAGTTGAACATTTAACTATTTCCTATAAAACCACCCATTTTTCATGCAATGGAGTGAATTTGAAAAAAAGGAACCACATATTATCAGAAGGTAAAGATATCCATTTAAATGTGGAGCATTTTATATTCAATATAAAATCTGTTTTCTTTCCATTTTTTGTGCCTCATTTGACTTTTTCCTAAAATATATAACCACCTATTTTTCACCCAACGCAGTGGATTTGACGAAAATTAAGAAACACGTATTTAACTTATTTGCAGTAGGTTAATATAATGAAGTTGATAATATAGAGTAGTTATGATTTTATTTTAAATCGGTTTTCAGTCAATTTTCGTGTTTGAGTTGAAGCATTGAGTTTTTCTAATAAAACCCCTTATTTTTCACCCAAAGGAATGGATTTTCTGAAAGCAAAGGGCACGTCCTTAATAAATTCCCATCCAAAATTCTTACTAACATCACAAAAGATAACTTTTGTACAAAATTCAGCTATCTAACTCTTTCGATTTGGCCTGCGCGTTGATCATCAGTCAGTCAGTCAGTCAATCAGTCAGCCAGGGCAAAGTCTTAAGGAAGGCAATATGTTGATAAACGTGGAACTTACCCTCTGATTTGCCGCAGCTCAAGTCGGTGCTGTGGGTTTTGTCGCCCAGACCTCCATAGGAGAAGTCCTGTGTGGGATGTGGAAAGGTAAAATCGATTAGACTGATGTATGCAGGGCGTTGAAGGCATGCCAAAAACCGAAATGATAAAGAGAACAGTGCGTGACTACGAAAATGTGCGTGTGTGTATGATGGCTTGGTGACCAACTAAAAAGAAGAAGCTAAGGCATTCCAGGTAACAAAAAGCTCTACGAGAATGGAGGTAAAATAAAAAAAAGAAGGGGAAAAAGCAACAACCAAAGCATTCTTACGGTGGCACCATGCATCGTGGCGGCGGCAGATGTTGTGGAACTGAATGTGTGAGAGCGTGGGGCCAAGCCGTATCCGGGTTTGGGTACATGACGCAGAGCGCTCACCACTGAGCCGAGTTGTGTGTGATGTGATGTGATGTATGTAAGATGTATAGCATGATTGATGTAGTGTGATAATTGTTAGTGATAGGTGTGGCAGGCACATAGATAGCATAGGCAAAAACGCACACACACACACATAAATAGTTGTAAAGTAAATGTTAGAGACACAAGGCACAAGGAAGCAGCAGACCAACCAGTTGAGATTTTAGTTAGTTAGTAGACCGACCCAAGGAACCAAGCCGGAGCGCAGCAGCAGCCGTATCAACGGTTTGAGAAAAAGAGAGAGACAAATGGAGTTTGGGAGTGAGCAACAGGAGTTAGGCAAGTGTTAAGTACTTAGAGATAACGACAATTACAAAAGGCTGATTAATTTGGTTTAGCTACAAAATGCCGCGCAAGACAATTGGCCGATTGACCCAGACAGGCAACGGGAGCAACAGGAGTCCCAGCGCTGCCAGCACTTACGGAGCTGTAGCCGTTGCGTATGTACGGCGGCATGGTGCTCGTTTTGAATCCATATCCAGGCTTGGGCGGCGAGCGATAGGAATGTATGGCTATAAACGTAATTGGTCCAGATATAATATATGTATGTATATAGTTTGACAAAACTGAACCGAACGAAACGCGCCTACGATCAGGTTCTACAACTAGCCCTATCAACAGGGCTGCAAACCTATTTAAAGTCTAGCCGGGTTTTACCTTGAATTACAATATCGTTTACTATAAACTGTATCTTCCAACTTGAAGAAATGATTTCATAAATATTTAAGCAACATTCCTAGTTTCAGAAAAGATTAACAATTTTTACTCTGAATATGTAAGTAGAGTATAAATTTTTAAAAATTGGACATTCTTCACCTCCCTGAAAATGCTTTTATGTGAAATCTTAATATTCCAGCGTTTTTTTATATTGGAACAATATCGTAAGGTTCTTCAGTATATCTGGAGTATGGAGTACATAGACAGACGGACGGACAGAAGGTTCTGGCTATATCGACTTTGATACTGATCAAGAGTATGTATACTTTATGGAAATGGAGCTGAGTACTTCTATCCCTTTAATTACAAACTATAATACCCTCTTAGAACTACATTTCAAATTGTGGCAAACTACTCTTTGAACACGAACCGAATCTGAAGGCTAAAATGGTACCCCGGATTGACTTGCTTTTTTGTCAGGTTTGCAGCCGTGTCTGGCACTCGTCTAATGTTTACCATTGTAGCTGGGCGCATTGCCCAGCGATTTGCCCAGTGAGCCGCGATAGCTGGTGGACCGATCGAACATCTCATCCTCATAGAAGGGCTTCTGATGGTCCAGATTGCGCGACGGCGAGGCGCCAATGGGCGATTCGTATCTGTTCGAAGTGCAAGGATTAGATTCGGATTTTAAAGGTATACTTGTGGGGCTTACCTCAACTTATATACCGGCTCCTTGGAGGCTGAAGGCGTGCGCGAGGCATTGCGCGGATCCAGATTGTTTTGCTTCCATTTCCTGTACTTGGCGTGCTCCTTGAGGTCCTTGGCAATGACCGAACAAATGCCCGAATTAAGCTTCTCCAGCTGCTCAGCCTCCCGATGCAGGCGTCTAGAATGGGAAATTCAATTAGAATCAGTCAAAGTAGTTTAGTTGAGCGTGGCCGACATCTTTCTCTTTCCTCTGCTCCCCTATAAAATTGTTCATTCTTGATTAACTGTCTGTTTACGATTAGATTCAATCGATTGAATCTATTCGGCAGGATTTCATTTTTATCGATATTAAGTAAATGGAAGTAGATATCGATAGATTAATACATAGATCAAATCGATTCGTCTTAAGTTGATTTTTATCGATATTATGAAAATGGAAGTAGATATCGATAGATTACGTACTTATAGGTTAAATCGATTGAACCGATTCGTCATGAATTGATTTTTATCGATATTATGAAAATGGAAGAAGAAATCGATAGATAACGTATGTTAACCTTGTGCGCGAGTATCGTGTTCTATTTTTCTTCTGCTTCTGTCGGACATGACTAGATAGAATCAACTTGTTATTCTGATCACGAATATACATACCGCATATACTCCTGCTATCCCTATTTTTTCATATACCCCAACCTACCCTGTAATCGAGGTTAACTTACGACTGCTCCTCGCCATTTTTGACCTTGCCATTAGTGCGCTTGCCGTTCTCGTTGTCCTCGTCATCGTCATCCGATACGGGCACACCCTTGTAGGTGTCGCTGTAGCGCCGCCTGCGCTCCGGATCCGTATAGGGATAGGGCGGTGCCGGGAAATCATCTCTTTCGATTTTTGGCTGTTCGCCCGGTGGCGGCTTCTTGGCCGCCGGATAGTGCGACAGCTCAATGGGCTCCTCGTTGTTCATGCCGGGACTCTTGGGTCGCGGCGTCTCCGAGCGTATGGCATCCACCAGCACCTTCATGGCGCTGCGCGTGCGCGAATGTGGACGCGATGGCGGCCGGCTGCCGGCCACGGAGCCCGCATTGCTGGTCGTCGCATAGGAGGCGGGCCTATGGAAATGCGGCGACAGGGGCGTCTTGTCGTACGGATCGATCGGCTTGCGCAGATAGTGGGGTGCATCTGTCAGATAGCTATAGGTATAGATGCGCGATATATCCTCGCCAATCGGCCGGCCGTACTCGCGCAGTATCAGCCCCGGGCTGACAGTGCGATAGTGCTGCAATACAGAGAAGGGGGAAAGGGTATACATATAGTCGACCATTTGG